GTCAATGAACCATGAGTTAATTTCGAGGCACACTAAATCTATTAAAGCTGATTTCGGAATAACCCAAACCCCACGTGAAATCAAATAGGTAATAGCTGAAACTAGAGACCATGATTTGGCTCATAGTTTCTTCCCCACCAACTTCTAACTCGGATTCGGTAAAATACGTAAAATACAATTTGTCTCCTCTTTCGTTTCAGCCTTTTACTCCGGCGACCCGCCGCCGCCGTCAAAGGCGTCGAACTCTGACATTGTTGCTCCCAGTCCCACTGACCGAAAGTATCCATTTAAACCCTTTTATTTACCAAAACGCCACTCCACAGTACCCCGGTTTGTCGCTCCCGTATGGTGGCCCTCCCGTAGTTTCAATCAAACCTCTGGTTTTTATCTTAAGCTGAGGCCATAAAACGAGACAAGGAGAGAGAGAGAGCAGTAGAGCTGCTAGAGCATGAATCGAGTACGCCTACTTTTGTTTAAAGAATGATTTGTTCTAATTAATTTAGCCATCTGAGTCGTCGGAAGGTCGTCGGCGTTGCGATCCGTAAATTGTGAGTTCTGAAGCCGGTTAGATCACGGATGGAGAGACGAGATTGCGTTTTCAGCCGTTTCTAGGCCGGCAGATCTTGGCGTCCATGGGGAACTGCTTCACATCGGATCCCGGCCATCCCCTCAAGTCAAAATCTGGTGCGTAACCTAAATTTTCTGGAACTAATATTGTTTTTATTTTAATTTTTTGCTCAAATTGAGAGGAATGGCGTGTTTCAATGCGCTGAGAAATCAATCGCGCGAATTTTTTTTTTCTTGTGGGAGAGTAATTATAGTTATGGAGGACTTCAGATCATGTAAATAACATTGTTCATACATGGAAAGGATCAAATTTGAAGTAGTTTGAGCTCTTACAGAATTTATGTGGGTTATGTGAGGGATTTTAGATCGGCGCTGCTGAACTTTTATGTTTTTTTTTTTTCTAATGGAGAAAGATGGAGAGCAAATGTTAACGATTTTTGAAACACAATGAAAGCTTTTGAATAACTGCCGAAAGAAATAGAGATCTTTGCAAATACTGTATTAAAATATTTGAAGATCTACATACATACCACTCAATTCTAATGTATTTACATATCTAAGAACTAAACTTCAAATTTTACATACATATCACCTTATCCATGCATGAAATGGTGTGTTTCACCTTTTAAAAGTTAAAATGATGGTATTTTTAATGTGATATGAAAGATTTGAGTGGTATAAATATGAAGTTTAGGTGTTAGATATGTAAATACATAGGATTTGGGTTCTATGTATGTAAATGCTGCAAAATAGATTACTTGTGGAGTAATAAATATCAATCAGATGAAAGTGAATCACTTTATATTGGTGCTGTACCTAACACATTTTAATGTTGAGAAAGACATGATATGGATGGGGTATTTATGAGAGTCAAAGTAGCCTGTGTTGAATATACTAAACTTCAATCAGCATATGTTAAGTTTTTTCATTTTGGAAAGGGATAGATTTTGACTTTTATACTTAAGAAGCCGTTTGGGATCACCTTTGTTTTATCTTATTTTTTCTATTTTGCATTTTAATTTTCATTTGTTTATGCTTTGATTAGAAATAAAGCATGTTTGTCATTTTGAAAATAAATAAATTTGTTTTTAAAAACATAGTTGTTTTGAGAATTTTCAAAAACAAAAAAAATTAAAATATGTAAAAAAATATATTGATCATATGTGTTTATGAAAACAAAAGCAAAATACAAAAAAAAAAAAAAAAAAAACAAAAAAAAAAAAAAAAAAAAAAACTCATGGGCATTTACATACATATGACCCCAATTCTTATGTATTTACATATGTAGGACCTAAAATTGCTCTATACATTTATAACACCAAATCTTTGATATCACATAAAAATTACTGCTATTTTAAGTTTTAAAAGGTTAAACACACCTTTTCATGCATAGGTAAGATTGCGTACTTGTAAAAATTGAAGTTTAGGTATTGAATGGTATGCATGTACATGCCCATAAAATTTATTTCTACCTTATTTTGTGCTTGCTAATGTCTCTATTTAATCTAATAAAGGACGAAAATCGGTGGCGGATCCATCTCAGGACAAGCCGAAGAATTCCACATCAAAGGAGAAGAGTGCCAGTACTTTGCTTGCAGCTACCAAAGATGTGGAAGATTTGCGGCAGAAATCTAGCCATGGAAATGTGAGCATATTCACATATAATGAGCTAAGATTGGCGACGAAGAATTTTCGGGCGGATCAAGTTCTTGGGCAGGGTGGGTTTGGAACTGTATTTAAAGGGATAATAGAGGAGAGCATAAGAGCTGGTTTCCAGTCTACTCCAGTTGCTGTGAAGGTTCTTAATCCTGAGGGCATTCAGGGAGACAGAGAATGGCTGGTAAGTTTTCTTGAAAATTTACATACACACCACTTAATTTCTATTGATTTACATCTTTAACATCTAATCTTCAGTTATTACATATATGCCATATTACCCTTGCAAGAAAAGATGTATCTCAGTTTTTAAAAGCTAAATTGATGCTTTTTTTTATGTGGTATGGAAGATTTTGGTGGCATAGAGGTATAAAGTGACGTTTATGTTAGATTTGTAAATACATAGGAATTGGGTGGTATGTATATAAATGCCCCTTTCACTAGTTCTGAGTATTGTATTATTAGATTTTGTTGGTGTGAGGTTATCAAGTTTATATTTGGTATTTTTCTGTGGTTGCTTGCAAATTGAGATTTGTTTAGAATTTTCTTCAAATTTATCTTTTTAAACCTGTAAAAGCATTGGCAAATTAGTTCTTAATGCATTGAATTGTAATTTGGTCTTTTTGGATCAAGCAAAGATTGTAGAAAGTCATGATTTTTATCTATTCAAATTCTATCTATTTGTTCTTAGAATTTAAATAAACATTATCTGTACATCTAGCTTTCTTTTTTACTCCTTTCTTATTTAAGGCCCCGAGTTATCACCTATTGAAATTCTTAACAGAACGGTCAAGATAAAATTTTGAGGGCATTTACTTAACACAATTTCTATGCATTTACATATCTAAAACCTAAACATTCATATTTACATACATACCACACTCAGATCTTGAACATCACATTAACAACAACACCATTAGTATCTTTTTAAATGTGAATTACAACTCTTCATGCATTGATTTATTACGCCAAGGTTTATTAGTATAAATATCGAACTTCGGGTGTCAAATATGTAAATACTTGAGAATTTTGTGGTATGTATGTAAATTTCCCAAGATCTTTGTTTTTTTGCTCCTTTCATCCCTGCTATGCCTAATCCAGACACTAGTTTATTAGCATTTGAAGTATCAAAAAACGATCTTAAGGCATCCAGTATCATTGGATCCATCTTTTATCATATTTCAAGACAACATAACTCTTTGTCATGCACATCAGCTTCCTATTTCTCAGTATTTGCTTTATCTAAAACATAAATCAGCATTGAATAATTTACTGAAAATTTATAAATTAGTAACCCTTGTCGATTCATTATTCGTAGTAGCTCATTTTACATACATACCGCCCATTTCTTATGTATTCACAACATCTAAACTTTATTTTTTTATGTTTATGCCTCTCAAAATCTTTCATATCACATAATAAATACAACTAGTTTAACTTTATAGAAAGTGAGATGCGCCTTTTCATGCATACTTAAGGTGTCATTTTATGTAAAAATTGAAATTTAGGTGTTAGATGTGTAAATACGTAACTGTTGATATGCATGTAACTTAATTATCCATCATTATGTTTATTTTACTTTCCTTTTTTATCATGTTGATTTGAATTTTCCTTCAATTGTATGAAGGTTGGTCTGAGCTATACCTATATCTGTTTTTTATTTGCTTAATGAGAATATTAGAGTGCTTTTCCCTTCTAAAATCCACTATAACAATTGGGCTGTAAATCTTCTAAAATCCATTATTAGTTTTAAGAAGCATTAATGTATCATAGCATCAGGGGGATTACATTCTTAACTTTTTGTAGTTCTGTTCAAAGTCCAACAAAGAAAATAACTTGGTCAAATAATTTAATGGGTTCTATTTTAAAATAGAGACTTTTTTTTTTTTTTGATCTTTTATCATCAGGTCTAATAAACTTTGTTTATTTTAATTTTGGCAGGCTGAAGTTAACTACCTTGGGCAGTTTAGTCATCCGAATCTCGTTAAACTTATTGGCTACTGCTGTGAGGGTGAACACAGGCTGCTGGTGTACGAGTACATGGCTTGCGGAAGCCTTGAAAAGCACCTTTTCCGACGTATGTAAGACCATACATTCTATAATTTACCTTTTGGGCATTTATACATATACCACCCAATTCATATGTATTTGCATATCCAACACCTAACTTTATTTTCTTACATTATACCTCCCAAATCTTCCATATCACATCAAAAATACCACCATTTTAAGTTTAAAGTAGCAGAATATTTAATTTCATGCATATGTAAAGTGGTATGCATGTAAAAATTAAAGTTTAGGTATCATATTATATATATATATATATATATATGTCGCTTATGCATGTTTATCTGTTTGAGTGGAGAAAATTTTGCTAGCAAATAATCTTACCACCTTATTTATGCATGAAAAATAGTCCTCTATCGGGACTATTCATATTAAAAGAGTATGTGGACTAATTTGACACTTTTATAGAATTTGATTGAAATAACCCCGTGTAAATAATCAGGGTACTCTTATGACAATTTACACTTTCATTATAATACCATTTTTACTGTTGGATTGTCTTGATTTTAGTAATCCGTCGGCGTGTTCTTAACAGGAGTATCTCTCATGACATGGGCCACTAGAATTAAGATTGCTTTGGGTGCTGCAAAAGGGCTTGCCTTCCTTCATGGTGTTGAAAGGCCCATTATCTATCGGGACTTCAAAACATCAAACATCTTATTGGATGCGGTACGTTGCACCGGAGTTTTTGAGTTTCATTTTCCAATTTGGATTATCGGAGTAATTTGAGTGTCAAACTAGATTAATTAGTAAAGATTTTAGAAGTTATTGTTAAGGCCTTAGATCGATTTTGCTCGCATCAAATTTGTATTTCAACGCACAACTTTTTAAAAAATATAGCAAGATTTACATAAGTACTACTTGATTCTTTTGTATTTACATATCTAACAACTAAACTTCAATTTTTATATATATGCCACCTTACTTGTGTATGAGAAGGTGTACTTCACTTTTAAAAGTTAAAATAGTGGTTTTTTTCGATGTGATATGAAAGATTTAGGTGGTATAAGTGTAGAAAGTAAAATTTAGGTGTTAGATATGTAAACACTTAGCATTTGGGTGGTATGTATGTAAATGCCCCAAAAAAATAATGTCAAATTAAATTTAAGCTTGTATTAATAGCTTGCTTAAAATTGTAATAGTTGATCGACTTTCTCTAAACAATTTTCATTATTCTGAAGGGGCATTTACTTACATAAATCACAATTCCTATGTATTTACATTTCTAGCACCTAAATTTTACTTTTTTACTTACACTCTCTGATTTACCTATGCATGATTGTTCTGAACTATTAGCAACTTAAAACTCTTTAAATAATTCAAAATCTTTCAAATTTGATGATTTCTTATATTGATTGATTGATTTATATTTATATATATTGAGCTTTCAAAGTATCTTACCTGCAGGATTACAATGCAAAGCTTTCAGACTTTGGCCTTGCAAAGGAGGGACCTATAGGTGACCAGACACATGTTTCAACTCGAGTTATGGGTACATATGGCTATGCAGCACCTGAGTATGTCATGACTGGTAAGCATGCTTAAAGAGATCATTTTGATCGAGTTTATCCATGGGCATTATTTGATGTCATTTTCTAAGCTGACCGCAAAATTAAAAGGAATATTTACATACATACCACTCAATTCGTTTGTATTTACAAATCTAGAAGCCAAACATCAATTTTTATTTACATACCATCTTACCTATGCGTGAAACTTTGTGTTTCGCTTTTTAGGGGTTTTTTTTTTTTTTTTTTTTTGTGTGGTATGAAAGAGTTGGAAGTTATAAATGTAAAAGAAAAGTTTAGGTGCTAAATATATAAATACATATGGATTGGGTTGTATGTATGAAAATGCCCCAAAAAATGAAACTTTGTTCTATGGAGTGTTTGTTAATGTTTTTTTCTTGTTAGAGGGATGATTTACAAAGTTGACCATTCCACTACTATATTTCTTCCCAACCTTCACCATTCTTCATATGATTTGGTTTCATTTTATCTAAGCAGCACCCAACTTTGCTAGAAATTTCCTCTCTGGCCTCAAAAACATTGCCTTGTCGGAGATAGAATTTAAAAGTCATGCCGTGCTGCTCGTAACACTTGTCAACATTCTAGTTTTATGTGACAGCATGCTTGACCAATGGCATGCCCTGTGAGTCTTGGAGGGGGTGTGGTAGAGTGCTGATGGAGTGAGAGGAATTATAAATAGGGGCATTTGCTACGTACCACACAATTTTTATGTATTTACATATCAAAAACCTTAAATTTCATACTTACATGGATACCACTCAAATCTTTAACTTACATCAAGAATATTATTATCATTATCCTTTTTAAAAGTGAAAGCCAACTTCTTCATACATGGCTTATGACACCAAAGTGTGAAGCGTGTAAATATCAAATTTTGGTCTTATATATGTAAATACATGGTAATTGTGTGGTACATATGTAAATTTCCCTTGTATAGTATGGGTAAAATTCAAGCCTTTATGCAACAACTTTAAACTACTGAGAATGTATACAGAGCAAGAACATCATCCATTTCCTTAAAAAAGAACTTTGCTCAGCTTAAGGTTGGAAACTGTAGAATTTTTATGCTGGAACAAAGTTGAAGCAAAATGAATGTTTAAAACATCAAATTGAAGAGTATCTATAATATATGAGCAAGTTCTATTTCCTTTGGGTTCTTTTATACTACTTTGCATAATTATATGAGGAGTTGCTTAAAATGTCTCCTTTGTTTTTAATGTTGCACTAAATTGAAATAAACATATCCGTGAAAGGGTTGGAGTGGCTCTAGTCACAACAAGACTAGAGAGAGTCACCTTAGATGATTCGGTCACGTTAAACATTGACCATTTGTTAAACGTGTAAGGAGAGTAAATGTTTTAGATTTGACTTATGTTAAGAAAGGTAAAGGTTGATCTCAAAAGACTTTGGCATATTTTATAAAAAAAAAATTTATTAGAATTAAATGAAACTATGACATTTAATATAGCAATGGAGAAAAGCATTCATGTAGCCGACCCCACTTTAGTGGGATAAATACTTGTTGTTGTCGTCGTTGTCATCCTCCTGCACCAAACTCTTTTGAAACCAATAATTTAACTCTTCCTTCCATACAATGCAGGCCATCTGACTTCCAGGAGTGATGTATACGGCTTCGGAGTCGTCCTTCTTGAGATGCTCATAGGAAGGCAAGCCATGGACAAGACCAGACCAAGCAGGGAGCACAACTTAGTCGAGTGGGCTCGGCCTCTTCTCATCCACAACCGGAAGCTCTTAAAGATCCTCGATCCGAAAGTTGACGGCCAGTACTCCGTTCAATCGGCGCAGAAGCTGGCAAACTTAGCCTACCAATGCCTCAGCCAGAACCCTAAAGGCAGACCCACGATGAGCCAAGTTGTTGAAATTCTCGAGAGCATTCGAGCTCTATCGGAGGAGGATCTGCTCTTCCAGGTCAGCGGCAGCGCGGTGACGCTCTACGAGGCTTCGAAGGACTCTTTGGATAGCTTTGGTGAAGGAAGGAGTAATTCTAAGAAGAGTGAAGGGGAGGGAGAAGGAAGAGGGGGTGGGAGAAGAAGGTTGGGAGAAGGAAGAAGCAGAAGTGAGCCACCAAAGGAATGTGCTCTGAATGGTCTTTCTCCTGACTCAAACGGCTCTCATGCGCGCAAAGGCAGCTTGGTGTAGCATCAGAGGTGTAAAATGTAATGTTTTAAGTGTCTTTTGTAATTCTTCTTTTTTTCATTTTTGTAATAATGCTTTATTTAATCGCCTCTGTAAGTGTTATCTACTGCAAATTTGTTCTCATCAACGAAATTTTGTTCTACTTCATGTTAATATTTTTTATTATTTTTTTAGGATTTACATGCATACCATATAATTCCTATGTATTTACACATCTTAAATGTAAATTTTGATTTTACATCTATGCTGTTTTATCTGTGCTTGAGAATGTGTGTTTCGCCTTCTGAAAGTTAGGAATAGGGATATTTTTTTGAAGTGATATCACAGATTTGAGGGTTAAAAATATAAAACTTAAAGTTTAGATGTTAGCATGTAAATATATGGGAATTATGTGTATGTATGTAAATGCTCTCTAGTCTCTTACCCCAAGAGAAAAGCATGCGGCATTTACACACATGCTTCCAATTCCCATGTATTTACTATGTCACACCTAAATTTTTGTTTTTACATTTATATCATTCAAATACTTCATATATCTTTTCATGGCACAAGAAAGTTGGCAGATTTGTAAATATATGAGAATTGAATAGAACACGTTAATAGCAGCGTAATAACACTGAAATAATACCTCAATAAAGCTTCAACAATACCGTTGAAACAATTCAATATCGATGTGTTATTGGCGCGTTTTCATGTGGCGTTTTATGGTATTAATGCAATGTTATTGGCGCTGTCAAGCGGCGTTATTCGAGAGTTACTGATGTATTATTGACTTAGGTTTTGCGGCGAAGCTAACATATTATTGATGTCTTACTGAAAAAAAAAATTCAGAAGAAATAATTTGTATTTTTATTAATTATTTTTTTTTCTCGTAAATGCTCGTGATATTTATCGTCTTATTAGACTTAATCAAGCTTAAGCTAAAGCTCAAATTAAGAGTATCTGTGGTCCAAATCCAGTTGTTCACACCTCTACGCACGTGAGAGTTTAAAGCACAGAGGGTAAAAAGATATTATATAATATATGAAGTTTTTATGTCTAGATTTTGTTTAAAAAATGTTAAAATATATACTTCATTTGTTTAAATTTAAAATAATAATAATATTCATGTGATATAAATGATTTTGAGTTGTGGAAATATAAAAAACAAAGTTTAAGTTTTAGATATTTAAATATATAAAAATTGTGTGATACGTTTGTAATTAGATGATATGTTTGTAAGCGCTTACAAATAAGATTATTTGTCCAATTGTAAATATAAATATTTTCAAAATTGTTATTTCGAAAGAATTATTAATGGATCACTTAAATACATAAGTATTTATATATTAATTATGAAAATATATGCGCTACCAACAAATTTTTATCATGCGACATGAATCTCGATGCATGACATAAATTTCGAGATAATTTTTTTAGTAAGAAATATTCAAACTTTAATTAAGAGTCATCTAGCTCTGATTTCAACAAATTTACAGTCAAATTGAATGGCTGGATGAGACGAACCCAATGACATCAACATTAGTCAAATCAAGCTCAGATCAAGTCATTAAACCACCATTGAAGGTTTTTTGGATATATTTAGAAGGTCAAACATATGTCGAATCTAACAAGCATATAGTCAAATCGAGTGTCTCGACAAATCGAAATCAGCAAGCCGAAGATTGCTCAATTCTGATATTATTAAGGCATTTAAAGGTTCATCAAACGCTATTTGATCGAAGGAAGCTCTTCGAACCATACAATCAAAGTGGCTCATTCTTGTATTAATTGCACCCATAATACTATGCTTGAGAAAAAAATTGAAGCTTTAACAAGGAGCTGAAGTTCAACACCACCCTTGCCACTGTCGATCACCGCCGAACATTATTGACCACCGATGACTGTCATCTATTATCTCCGACAGCTGTTGACCACCACCTGTTGGCATCCACGAATCGTCATTAATTGTTGTCCACTTTTTGCAACGAGTTCATTCGCACATCGAGACTGTAATTCAAAGTCTTTATAATCATTTTACAAAAGTTTAATTTTTACAACCGGGTTAGGTTCCCCACCACCTGTTGGCATCCACGAATCGTCATTAATTATTGTCCACTTTTTACAACGAGTTCATTCTCACGTCCAGACTGTAATTCAAAATCTTTATAATCATTTTCCTCCTGTGAGACAAAAGTTTAATTTTTACAATCGGGTTCTGTACATTTTTTTCTTTACAAATTTTTCTGGTAAATACTTCTGACGTCACTATTAATTATTCTTTTATCTAAATGTATGTTCATTTTTGTGAATGATGTATTATTTTTATAAAACCCCCCGGGGCCTCGCCTTATAGATCTTACTTGGAGCTGCGGCCATCTTCACCGAAGCAAAGCAATCACCGAAACCTTTTCCATGGATCCTCATCTAAGCGCCCCGCTCTCCATGGGCACGACGATCATCGGCGTCACCTACGACGGTGGTGTTGTCCTCGGCGCCGATTCACGGACCAGTACAGGTCCGGCTCTAATCTCTTGACTTTAGTCAATTTTAGGCTTCGCTCGTTTTTTGGATCTCATCTGTCTGTTCTTCCTGCATGGCAGGGATGTATGTCGCTAACCGTGCATCGGATAAGATCACGCAACTCACTGACAACGTTTATGTGTGCCGCTCTGGATCGGTGAGTTTTGGTGTTCCTGGAGCTTAGCCGTCGCTGGTTAGACATGTGTTTCGATGAAATATGGTATTTGGTATTTTTAGGTTTTGACGATACTACTGAGTGAGATGTTGTTTTTACCATTTGCATTGTGTGCTGATTTCTTTTGCAATTATCGATTTACCATGCTTTCGTTAGGTTTATTTCTCCACTAGTTTTATCTTTGCCTGTCAATTGAGTTCTAATTTGTTATCTTCTCTACATGGACGTTGATCTTCAGTAGCAGTCGTTCTGTTAATTGATTGAAGGATTGCGCTGGAGTGATTGGGTAGGTTCAAATGGGCTTGTTAGTTGGCAGAGATATTTGTATTCATTGTTTGAATGCTTCTTCAAAGTTATTATTGTTTATCTCATTTAACTACAATAAGATATTACTTGTAAATATTAGGTGGATTTTTAAGGGGTTTATAGGTTTTTGTGTCAAAATAAATCAGAAGATGTTTTTGACAACATGAAATTTTAACTGGTAACAGGATGAGCTAAGCGGCGGGGATTATATAGTTTGGAGAGGATTGACGGGTTTGATTTAATTATTTACTTTGGAAAGAAACCAGTGATTATATATATATATTTTATTTATTTGGATAAGGCATATTTTGAATATTATTCTTATTTTATGGCTAAAAATATGTTGGGTATATTTCTTTGCATTTGACTGGGTGGCCCGTTTAATGATATGAATTGTTGTTTTTAAAGGCCAACTTCTTTTCTTTAGGGTAAAGCTAATGTTTTAGAATATGTAGAACAATTCATGTAATACCCATGTCGCCTATGATTGCATGAGCAATGATATAATAATAGCTCAACCACTTGTGTCACAAGCCAACAAAGTTATGGAGCAATCTAGTGACATACATCTAATAGGATGATAGCAACAACTTGGGCTGAACGACATTAATGAAAAAAACTATAAATCTAAAATGGACTATTTAGAATGATGTTCTTGTAAAGCCCAATTACAAAAATGTTAGTCATATATTGTCATTCTAGACTTTATTAGAATATAATAAAGCAGGAATCAGGGAATTGTGATTCCATTGAATCTCTAGCCTGGTTCAAATTTCAATCAATATTAAGGTACTGCATATCGGGTGTTTTAGGCAGTTTTTTTCTTTGTGATACTTAATTTACACCAAAGTTTTTTTATAATAATGTGCCTGTAACTACTTTCTATCATAGAAACTTAAAAAGGAAAAAATATGTTTCACTGGATTGCTGATGTTTAAATTAAAGTGAATGCATTAACTTGTTTTTTTCATGATTTCAAAGTGTGTTCTGAAATGTCTGGACAGCAGTCACAACGGCTCCTTGAACCTTAACTTTTATTGTATTGTGTCATAAGCTTTATGTATACCTTGGTTGGATGTGTAAACAAGTTGAGTTGAGCTCCAGTCATAGCTAACTCGAGCTCGTAGCTCCATAAGCTTGACTCGTGAGCCCGTTAACGAGTTGAACTTGAGCGGGCTTGACTCACTTAACACCCTAACCTTGATAATACTGACCTGTGGATCTTGTTTTCTTGCCGTTTTTTCCGCATTTCTCTGCGAGTTTCAGTAATGTTAATTAGGCTCTTTCTCACTGCTAGATAGGCGAGAAAAATGAACATTAAATGACTTTTATTTCATATTCAAAGCACTAACCGCTTGAAATCTCACTTACTTTCCCTTGATTCACTTTGTTCAAGCAATGCCTTAATTTTTAGCGATTTACCATATTTAAGCTTTCCCCCTATGTGGCATGTAATTTGGACAATCTGCATGAACCGCTTTCTGTTTGTTGCCATTTATGTTGTATATTACATCTTTTTTATTTGATTAGTAATATTCCAAAGATAGACATTATTATCCTAATTATTGGTAGGGTGCTTACATTGCGCACATACTTTAAATATGGACAAAGATCAAGTAGTAGTTTTACATTTGCCCATTTTTTAAAGTTCCACAATTGCAAACATGGACAAAACCAACTGGCGGAATTCAGATCTACGTTTTCTGTGTCTTAATGCACCACCGCACATCTTATTGATTATGAATTTTTTGGCGCATTCATTTATTTTTTATTTGATAGTGCCGACAAGTGTTCTTTTTTTCATGTTTTATTTGTAAAAGTCGATGTTATAGTTATAAGTTAGAATGTGTCTTGATCACAGCTTTAGGCCTTGCTTATAAAGACATTTATAAATGGCTTCATAACTTGCTTAATTTGGTAAAGAAATAATCCTGTTGAGGTTGGTTAGCTGCATTGTTTTGTTGAATGCATGTGGGAATAGATGAGCACTGTTAAAACTTTTTGAGTTTAATTTAAAACTTTAAACTTTTGATGGCAAAGTCAGTTTTGTGTGCTCATATGTGTGATTCCTGGGGAAATTCTTAGTGCAGGAGTGATGTATAGTCAGTTATTGATGTACTTAGTACCTTTTCTATTGCAACACAAGCAGCCCTTTAAAACCTAAATTTTGTGCGTTTCATTTTCCTCCTGTCAAAGGTTTGAGAAAAATAGTCTGATTTTTGAATCGGCTCAATTGTCTTTTCCCTTTGCTTTTATTCCATTAAATAACAATCTTACAATCTATTTTAGGTACAAAATAAAGTGAATATAATCTATTTTAGGTGACTTAATAATACATATTCCTAATTTAAATATTTAGCTACAGGGAAAATATATCAGAATAAAAATATTGGAAATAAGAAACCTTCTAATTATAGAAAACTCTTAATTTAGCTGCCTAATTTCCATCATTCTTGATTGACATCCCCCTCAAATTGATGTTGACTGATCAGAAAACATCAATTTACCAACAAAAAGCTGATAACATTGTCGGGATAAAAAATCTTCAAGATGTGAGTGCCGAAGTCTTATAATGTTGAAGCCTGAAAATACCGTAACCTAAAAATACTGAAGCTCAAAAGTGCCGAAGCATGAAAGTGCCGAAGCCCGAAGCCCGAAGCCTGAAAGTGTCGAAGCCCAAAAGTGTCGAAGCCCAAACATGTCAAAGTCTGAAAATGTTGAAGCCCGAAAGACCGAAGCTTGAGAGTGCCGAAGCCCGAAAATGCGGAAGTCCAAGAGTGTCGAATCTTAAAAATGTCGAAGCTCAAAAGTGTCGAAGCTCGAGAGTGTCAAAGCTTGAAAGTGTCGAAGCCAAATAGTGCCAAAGCCCAAAAGTGTCGAAGCCCGAAAGGCCGAAGGCTGAGAGTGCCGAAGTCCAAGAGTGTCGAAACCCGAGAGGCCGAAGCTTAAGATCTATGGTTTGCCGAAGCCGAGGCTGAAACTTAAGCGGACAAAGCGAAGCGTAAGAAGCAGTCGAAGTTGCCATAGAAGCAGCGATGCCTAACGAAGAAGATCTGATTCAGATAAATAATAATACAAACATAACAACCCTTTTCAACCCAAGAATCCTTGTTGTTGTTGCCTGTTTCTTTCCACCACCAAATGAACCACTAATCCAAGAAGAGGATGATGAAGAAGCAGTACTGACATCATTTTCCATCAGAGCAGGTGGCATAGTTGATAAACGAATCAAGGAAAAGAAATAGTTCCTCCCTTCTCGCCGGGAAGGGAGTCTTGAAGGTCCTCCAACGATTACCGGTGGTTAGGGCAAAAATTTTGCTCTGATACCATGTCAAAGTTTTGAGAAAAAATAAACTGAAACCTGAATAGGCTCGATTGCCTTTTCTCTTTGCTTTCATTCCATTAATTAACAATCTTACACTCTATTTTAGGTAAAAAATAAAGTGCATATAATCTATTTTAGGTAACTTCATAATGCATATTCCTAATCTAAATATTCATCTGAAAAGGAAATATATCAGAATAAAGATATTGGAAATAAGGAAGCTTGTAATTATAGAAAACTCGTAATTTAGCTAAGGAAGCTTCTAATTATAGAAAACTCGTAATTTAGGTGTTTGATTTCTATCCTTCCTAATTGACACTTCCGATCATTATTAGTCTTTTGAATTTAGAACTATTGTCATCTCATGCTATGAGTTGCTATAGTCGGTGTTCTTGATTCTTTGATTGATATAGTTTCTGTTTTATTTTTTAAGGTAACAAAAGATATGTACTCAGCATGCACATTTTAACGAAAGAAAATATAGTTTGCTTATGTTACTTTCTTGGATGGGATTTGTTTCCTATATAAATAATAATAAACCCCCTGAATGAATTATTACTATCTCAGTTCTTTATTTAAAATTTTAATCATGCATGCATGGCTTTATGATGTCATGAAACCCATTATTTCATTCCTTATGTTTATTAAACACTTTGGCCATCACAATAGACATAGTTCACCTTCTGGATTTTGTTGCTGCACTGTTATTTTTTTATTTAATGGTTCTACAGACCCTTTTTATCCCTTTTGCTTGCAAGATTTTGCAGCAATTTCATGATTTTGATTGGATCAATTAGAAGAACAAATTTATTCCTGCTCAATGTAGCCGACCCTTTCTTATGCTTATGAAACACTTTGGACATCACAATAAACATAGTTCAACTTCTGAACTTTGTTGCTGTACTTTTGTTTTTATTTAATGGTTCCACAGACCTTTTTTTTTACCTTTTGCATACAAGATTTTGCAGTAATTTCATGATTTTTGACGTTGATTGGATCAATGAGAAGAAAAAAATTATTCCAGCTCATTGTAGCTGACCTTTAATTTGCTCATCATGTTTAGAGTTGCTGCTGTCATCTGCAGCTTTTTCATTCTATACTGATAAGTGTACAGTAGATTGGAACCATAATATTTTCTTTATTATTGCACTAAAGGGAATGACTCTTGCAAATTGTTGCTGCATATTGTAGTTTTAATTATTCATCTATGCCGTGAATAATGTTTTTCATGGTTTTTCCTGCTATTCTATTTAATTCATTAAATGGTATAATCACTGTGAACTTAGTTTTGTTTACTAATTTTTTTCCCTTGCTAATGTATTCTTTCCATTTAACTTTCTCTTCTTATATTTGCAGGCTGCTGATTCTCAAATCGTATCTGATTATGTTCGCTATTTTCTCAATCAACATACGTGAGCATACTCAATTCTTTTCCTTTACCTTCTGATTAACCAATTTTAATTAAGTACTAATTTGCATTTGTTTGTTAGTATAAAGAGAAATATTTCTTGTGCATAAATTTTTATTTATTTCTAGGTTGACATGCTTTCTTCACGGTATTTGCTTGAACCAGCTGGGAACAAGTTGGCATTAATTCCCTGATTGGATTCTTTGTTTAAATTAGAATTAGAGGTGGAATGGAACAGAAGAGATTTCAAGGGTTCTTATATGTGCATAGACTTCAAAATTCATCTATAGGTTGTATGGTGTGCTAAAAAAAAGTAGTGTAAAAGTAGTTTATTGTATTTAGAATATTTTGGAGTTGTTTGATTCAATGTAAAATAAATGCAATATTTTATAATTTCTTGTTTGTTTTGAAGAAAAATGAATTTAATATAAAATAGGCTCGTTAGTGGCTGCGGTGTTAAGCTGTAGAGGGAGGGCAGCCTGTGGGTAGGCATTGCTAGAGACCTTTGGTGGGTGTTAGTGAGTGGGCAGGCGGTGGTTGTCGGTATCTGGGTGGTGTTGTCTGCGGTCAACACTTTACATAAAGTAGTGTAGTGTATCTGTTCTCCCAAATATGGTGAATTCCAAATGCATTAAAATTGAATTAGGAAATGAATTTCAAATGCATTATAATTTTACATTGCATTTATTTTTCTTCCTACCAATCATCTAGATTTTCAAAACTCCCATAAAAGGAATGCATTTCGCTCTTTCTGCTGCAGACCAAAAAATTCTTTAAATTGATAGTTATTGGGTATACATGTGATAAGACTGTATGGATTTCTCAGATTAAAAATTCGACATGGTCCATTGGTGCAGATCCATGATGAACCGAGGTATTTTGTCTTAATGAGGTGTAAGCCTTAGGGCTGATTGAGGCGTTAGCCTTGAAATAGAGAATAACTAAAAACTTACATAATACTTGGACATGAAAAGTTGTCTGCATATTCATCTAATTCATCATTATAAAATATAAATTACAAAGCTTAATCTTTGTGTTAATAAAATAAAAGTTTTAAACAAAATTTAAAGTACCCAATTAAAATTTAAATGTTTCATAAGAATTAGGATCCGCAGTTGGCTCATCATGTTTAAAAAAATTATCATATGTAATAATTTTATTATCATTGGGGTCTATCTCATCATCTTTAAAATTCTTCAAATGATAGCTAAGGTGTATAATATAATATGATATTTGTAAAAAAAAAAAAAAATCTTTGAGGTGTGGAACACCTCATACCAAAAAAACCCAAAACATAAGCCTCATCGGTCAGGGTGAGACTTAAGCTCTAAGCCGCTCCTCTTGTGCCTCTATTCTTGCACACTTAGAGGCATGCCTCGAGTGCTTTTTTAAACAATGTGTTTTACCTGCATGAGCTCGGAGTTCAATTTGTAGAAAAGAAGTTGCTATCGTTTCAAATAGTGGTTTGGCTAAGCCTAAGTTGTGACGTGAAGAGAGTGTATATATGTATCTCTATTGAAACTTGGAATAGACCAGCATAAATTTAATTGATAGGAAAATGAGTATTTAAACCCAATTACAATATAAATAATAATGAAAAGTAATGAAAATAGAGTAAAATAACAAGGAACAAAAATAAAATAGAATAAAACAAAACAGGAAAGAAAATAAAATATAATAAAGCAAAAGAGGAAATATAATCAGAGAATAAAATCAAATAATAAATAATAACTGCATACGGATAATCATTATACTCTAATAATCTCTTTGCTGTTTTTTTTTTTTTTCATCAAGATGTCAAAAAGTTAACATTGTCATTGTCGGTCCCAAGCCTGGATGTGAAAATATGTGAAAATGGAGGGTGCGTTAGGTAATCGACAGCCAACGTAAAACTTGTCGAAAAAAAGTCATAACATGAATCCTTTTGATCTTTGTGTGAGTGCTAGGGCGTCCCCTGGAAGCGACGCGCTGTATATACAGTGAAAAATATACAAGGGCCGCTGCACTGACGCTCGGGTGTGGTGTCAAATAAGCAGGGGTTTCCACATTACAGACGGATGCAGGTGAATAAGTTAGTCCATAAAACTAATAAAATTAATATTAGGATATGATATTGAAATATAAACACTCTCAATTGGTAAATTCATGAAGTTAATTGATATTATGATTCATAGAAAGATAAATATGTTATGTGTCAAAAAACTAAATGGGTTGGAGAAAAGGCTAAGGAGATTGATAACTTAGATTTTAAACTTTGGTATTCAGGTAAAAGTCGCACTAGAAATGGTGTTTGTGTAATTATATATAAGAGTTTAAAGATAATGTTGTAAAAAATTAATAGAGTTGGAGATGGAATTATAACCCTTATGGAGATAGAATTATAACCCTTAAGATTATCATTTAATTATGAGTAAAATTCAAGATTTTTAAAATTCGGGATGTTCATGATGAAGCAAATGTTATGTTGGATAAAATAATAAACACTATTAAACAAGTAGCAAAAGATGTACTAGGAGAATCAAAAGGTAATAAACACTATTAAACAAGTAGCAAAAGATGTATTAGGAGAATCAAAAGAAAAAAAGTTTCTTTAAATAAAAATAGTTGGCGGTGGAATAATAATGTACAAGAAAAGATAAAATATAAGAAGTTATGCTATAAAAATTGGCTTGAATGTAAAAGCTTAGAGAGCTGGGAAAAATATCAATCGGACCGCAGGGAATCTAAAAGAACAATATGTGACGCTAAAAATAATATGTGACGCTTAAAATTCTGTTTTTAATAATATTTATAATAGATTAGATACTAAGGAGGGTAAAAAAACACATGTATAAACTAACCAAACAAAGATAAAAGAATAGTAAAGATTTAACTTAAGTAAAATGTATTAAAGATGAAAATTAAAAAGTGTTTTTTTAGAAAAAGATATTCAACATAGGTGGGTGGGTTATTTTGATAAACTTTTTAATGAAATTTCTGAAAATATGATCAACCTTAGTGATCTTAATATCGTTAATAATAATAAAACGTTTCATTTTTACCGGCGCATTAGTAAAAAAAAAGTTGAGCTGACTTTAAAGAAAACTAAGGGTGGAAAGTCTGTAGGACCTGATGTTATCCCAATTGAAGTATGGAATTGTTTAGGAGATTTGAGAGTTTCTTGGCTTACTAAACTCTTTAATATTATTTTAAAATTTCTCATAATCAATTTGGATTTATGCCTGGCAGGTCTACTATGGAAGCTATACATTTATTGAGAAGTTTGATGGAAAAGTTCAGAGATAATAAGGAGAATTTACATCTGATTTTTATTGATTTAGAGAAAGCTTACGATAAGGTTCCAAGAGATATCCTTTGGAGAGTTTTTGAGAAGAAATGTGTTGATATGACTTATATTCAAGTCATTAAAGATATGTATACTAGAGTTGTTACTTGTGTTCAAACTGAAGGAGGATTGACCAAATTTTTTTTTCTATTTCTATTGGATTACATCAGGGATCGATTTTAAGCCCATATCTTTTTGTTTTAGTTATGGATGGTCTTATTGGACATTTACAGGAGGATGTAGGTGTATGCTTTTTGCCGATGATATCCTTCTCGTGGATAAGACGAGAGAAAAAGCCCAGGAAAAACTTGAATTATGGAGATCTACTTTGGAGTCTAAAGGCTTTCGTTTGAGTTGAACTAAAACTGAATACATGGAATGTAATTTTAGTAGTAGTAGCTCTAGTGACATAAGTGTAACTTTGGGTGATCAAATTATTAAAAGGTGTGAACGATTTAGATATCACGGGTCTGTTGTTCAAAGTGATGGTGATATATATGGGGATGTTAATAGTAGAATTCAAGTTGGTTAGTTGAAGTGGAGGAATGCTTCCGGCCTTTTGTGTGATAGAAAAGTATCGCTTAGGCTGAAAGGAAAAAAAATTATAAGACATGGTGGAACCTGCAATGCTTTATGACGCTGAATGTTGGCCTTTAAAAGAGAAGCATGATACTAAGTTAAGTGTTGCCGAGATGAGAATGATTAGGTGGATGAGTGGTTTTACACTTATAGACAAAATGTGAAATGAATATATTCGTGATTGGTTTGATGTAGCTCCTGTGACGGATAAAATTAGAGAAAGTTGTCTTAGATGATTTGGTCACATTAAACGTCGACCATCTGATGATCCGATTAGGAGAATATATGTTTTAGAATCGACTTATGTTAGGAAAGGCAGAGGTAGACCTAGGAAGACTTGGGCTTATTATATAAAAAATGATCTTAATTTATTAAAACTAAATGAAAATATGACACTAAATAGGACGCAATGGAGAAAAGGATTCATGTAGCCGACTTAAGGCTTTGTTGTTGTTGTTGCTATTCATTTTTTAAAACGTTTGATGCCTGCAATTTTACATTGCACAACAAAGAAGATGATTCTCTTATTTGAACATCTGATCTCAAGTCACAGTGAAATTTGACATTTGTTTGTAGTCTGCGTGGAGAAGGCCAGCAAGATTTTTGCACGTAAAACTTGATCTTTAATCCTTTTTAAAAGCTAGATATGGACAAAACTTGCTTTATATTGGTTATTGTGCTAGGAAGATTGTTTTTGTTAGTTCTTATTTTATGATCATGGCACTACCTACTAACCGTACACAATCTATGGCTAGCATATAATTATGCGCTATCTCATATAATTCACACAATTAACGGGTAAATGCTTAAATTGTGCACAAGGGCCCTCAATAATACATAGTCTTGGAATGGTTGCAACACACATATTTGATTAAAGAGCCTTTTGGGTTTCAAACTAATGTACTCTCAAGTTGAAACCTAAGATTTACTTTATAGATCGGCAATCTACCATTCAAAATGAGTTATATAGCGTCTTTAACGCATTGACTTGGATGTATGCTTTTTTTGGTTATTCTTTTTTTCTATTGGGTTTGCTTTATGCTGTACATGATTTTTGTATCATCAGTGGCCTATCCATTTTTGGCATGAACACAATTGAGTGAGCACTCGTGTTATGTTAGTATCCCTTGAAATTCTATTTCATACAATATTATGTAATCTATTATGAACTGGTTTTCAATTTGTTGGCCAACGTTTGTAAGTTGTAAGTTGTAAATTGAAATGCAAGAAGGATCGTAGGCTAATTGGTTTTGCTATTTTTATTTAGTGATTAGAAAATTTGTGCAATCTGTTTACTGCCATATCTATGAGAGATTGTTGTCAATATATGTTCATTTGGTGAATGTTAATGAGCTTACTGTTGTTTTTCTAGTATGAATAAATTATTTTTGTTTATCTCTTACTGTACTTATGTTTTTGGTTGAAGATTTTGTGAACGATATCTTTGTTCTCATAGTCAAATATCAATAACGGAAATTATATACTGTTAATGTGGATACTGCTAACTTAATGTCACCAATACAAAGTTCCAGTCCTTAAATTGTATTGCATTAACTATCAATCTGGTTGCGTTGAACTTGCTACTAATTAGGATTTTTTTCCTTTTATTTATTTTTTTTTTTTTGCATCTCATGGTGAACCCCTGTAGCTTTTTCAAGAAGCTACGGAATTTGTCTCTTGTACTTTGACAAACGAGATTTAAAATTCTATAGTTTTATCTAATATTATACCCATTTCTTGATATTTTAGTAATCATTCCCCTATTATTGCTACTAGACAATGATAGTACTAGCTTTCCTTTATTTCATTGATGCATTTTTAATCCATTGTCTAGTTTTTAATCGGGCTTTATTTTGGTATCAGGATCTAGTACTTGAAAACTGGGCTACCATTGCCTTAATAACATAAAAGTGAGATGGGTTTTTCTTGTCTTTGAAGGAGACCAACTATTTTCCTACCAATTATTTTTACATCCAATACTTTGGGTTTATTTGGGTGGTTGTAAGTTTTTTAAGAGTGGTTGCAAAGTTGTGGTGGAGAAAATAACTTCTGAGAAAGATGATGTGGGATATATATATATATATATATACACATATATTAAAAAATTATACAATAGTTTTTTACAGTCACCGCATTTTTAACTGCTCGGGTTGAAATTAGTAGTTTCCCATTAGAGAAACTTCTAGAAAGCACCAAGAAAGAATTCCCTAAACAAAGTTGCGGTTGCAGTCTGAAATGCAAACCAGTCAGAAAGTTGTACCACGCAACCCTTTTATATAGCCTTTAGACTAAAGAACACGATATCAATTCTGATCTACAAATTGAGAGTTACTAATATATTGAGTTCCATCATTTTTTGTGATAATTTAACTATCCATTAAACTTGTAAAAATAATAAGGTTGATTGGATGATGTATAGAAGTCCACCTAAAAGTTTGTATTTACTTTTGTATTTCTCTTATCAAATCCTTCAATACATCCAACATATTATGACCAACATATTTATTTTCTCATGCAATGAGTGACATTTTTAATTTTAAGAATGTTAAAGAGAATAATGATTTTGATCTTATATTTTAAGGCTATAACATCAATATCTAAATTGGAGGAGAATGGTGATTCCCTTCTTAAGAGTTAAAATGTCCGTTACTAAATATTTAGATTGCATTAATCCAAATAGGGACTTATTTAAATGATATAAATTATTTTAGATGAAATGCATGGTTGAGATGAAAAAAACAAAGAAAATCAACATGTTTATATTTACCTTTTTTTTTTGGTGCAAGTTTATTTGTTTTACTTGGAAGTTATCAATGTATTATAAGAAGGATCCTGAATTGTGAGTAGAGGATTGTTCTCTCTCAGCCAATTTTAAATTGACTGATATGCATAAGGCTAAATGGAGGAACTTTTGTTGTAAAGATCTGTAAAATTTGGTGTGATAAATTTTACATATTCGGTGAAATTAGCATTGAAGAATTTTGTTAGAGTGAGGAAGGATTTAGGTACATTGATTTAAGACGTTAAATTTTTTCTTTGGCTTAATGAAAGGTGTGGATTGAGATGAGCATACAACAACAACAACAACAACAACAAAGCCTTAATGAGATGAGCATGCAGTTGAAAATTATTGTTTTGGTCTTTTAGAATAAGAATTTAAATGAAGTCCAAAATTCAGTGATCAAATCCTTGAATGGTATAGAAATAATGATTTGAGTTAGTAGTGGTGATGGTATCAGCTAGCAAGGTGGAGTTGAGATTTGGGGCTGATATGATTATCAGTGTAGAATAAAGTTAGAATATTATGCAGAATATGCAGTTGGTTGGATTGAGGCTGGGCTGACGAGGATCATCTTTTAAGGGTTAGCACATGATATTTGGTTGAGAGGAGGAGTTCTTTACTACTGGAAAATCTTGAAGTTCCAGCCAAGGTAGGCTGATAGAGAGAATATTTGGGCGAAATTGGGAATAGAAAATGAGAACTAAATTAATGTGTATGTAGTTCTTGATGGGATATTTAATAGAATAGGCTTTCGAACCAAGAGAATGAGAATAAGCTAACAAATATTATAGCAATTTCTAAAGAACAACAAATAATTTTAGAGTTGATTAAAAATGAATCCCTAATTAGCATAAACTCTATGGAACCCTCATTTACCTTACTAGTCTTACTTTCATCCTTGAATTATCAAGGACTGGGATTGAAGTAATGAAGTTTGTATGTTGTAATTTAACTCAAGTTGGTGTTGTTGGCCTTGAGGTTAAGTCTACTTTTGTTACTTAGACTACGGCCTACCCACGATTTTGTTGTTTAGTGGAATGTTGAAGTGAACCCTCTTGCTTGTCTTGTAGATAATCTGATTGATGGAGTTGGCCCAATGTTCTGAAGGCCACCTCCTAGATCAAAGAAGTATGTATGTTTCATGGATGTGGTGTTTGTCAATTTTTTTATCTAAATTAATGATGTTGATTTTTTGCTAAGTGTTATTTAACAAAATTTCAAATGAACTAGAAGGCTGATCAGACTACTGCAGTCTGTTGGACTAGTGGACAAAGGTTCTATGATAAGCTGTTGTGGATTGGATACGCAAATTTGTTCTATTGTGATTCTCTGCTATTACTTTTCTGCAATGTTATCACCTTGTTACACATAATCATCTAGATTGCGTAATGTAACTTCTACTTTTGCATTTTAATCTTGTTTTTATATGTTTTCTTTTTACCTCTTTTATCTTTGCTAAATCGCTAATTAAGTAATCATGGTAGGATTGTGATTTTTTCCTAACAAAAAGATACCATACAAATTATTTGTCTACTATGCTGTGTTCTCGAGGCAGGATTCAACTCGGACAGCCTGCTACAGTCAAAGTTGCGGCCAATTTACTTAGGTTGTTTTCATATCAGAACAAGGTATATTCCAACCCTTTTGTTTTTGATGTCAATGCAATTGCCTTGTTCGTATGGCCGGAAAACTTCAAAAACTGTATTCGTTTTGTTTAGTGTTCTTTAATTGGTCATGGGACTGCTCATTCTTAATTCGTTGGATCTGCTGTTTATAAAATAGGATTTAACTAGCACACCTACACATCAATGATGCTTATATTTCTTTTGGTCTCTGTAATAATTGTTTTTAGAATATGTTGCAAACTGGCCTTATTGTTGGTGGTTGGGATAAATATGGAGGAGGACAAATTTACTCTATTCCCCTTGGAGGAACAATTTTGAAACAACCCTTCACCATTGGAGGTAAGATCACAACTAAAATTCTAATTATTCTTTCCCGAGATGCATGCTTTCTTGCAACAGCTTTATTTTCAGATTTGAAACTGCATGCTGGACCCTTATGAGAAATATTTTTTATCTGTGTTCCTGACGTGAGGATAGACGGTGGGGCTTGACTTGATTGGAAGTTCTTTTAATATTTAGAATTCTAAAAGAAAACATAAGCTTGTGATAACAAGATTGTATTATTCTGCTATGGTAAGAAAATGAGGTGTTAGGATCGAGTCATATAGGGGCCGTTTGGGATTAATTTTGATTTCTTTTATTATTATTATTTTCTTAATGTTTTGATTTAAAACAAGACATCTTTGGCATGGTATTATAACATGTTTAGTCGTTTTTAAAATCATTCAAAATAAAAGTTGTTTCAAGTATTTTTTAAAAATAAGCTAATTTAAAAAATAAATAAATAAAAACATGCTCATTTTCAGACCCTCTGCATGTTGGTCCTTAGCCCTTGCAACTAGAAGTTGAGTGCTTGAGACCATTCGTGCGAGTTTTCAAAAAATGAGTAAAGAAACGGTTTGAAGTTCTATGGGAGGTGGGCTCCATTACTAGTCCGCTAGGATGGTCAACCAGGAACTCCTAAGGCTAGATCCTAGGTTCTAAGATTAGGAGGCTAAGACCCACTAAAAATGAGGTCAACAATGGCTCTGGTTTTGTTGTCCTTTCTACTTCTCTTTAGTCGGTCAACTTTTTTTCGATGGATTGAATCTTTTAAGTTCAATTAAAAAGTTACAATCCAAAGCCATATCGATTTAGGCCTTGAGTAGCTTGTTTATTCTGCAGGTTTCTGGGGATTCAGATCACTTGTCTTTACTAGATTTAGGCACGACCTATCCTAGAAATAGTAGCAACCCTTCCTTGTACTTACAGCAATGGTGAATTGTTCTTATCCACATGTGCCAAATTTCTGTTCTTATCAAACTTTTATGTAGAGTTTTTCGTTCTTCCTCTTTCAAATAGTTAGCTAAATGAATTGATTTTTGGGACATTTATATAGCATACAATTTCTTAAGTATTTCATATTTCACACCTAATCTTTCATATTCACACACATATCATTCAAATCTTTAGTTTCACATAAAAAATAACACTATTACCACTTTTTAAAAGTGAAATAAATATTTTCATTTGTAGGTTTAACGCATCAAAGTGTTGTGTATGTAAATATGAAAGTAGAGGTGTGAGATATGTAAATACATAAGAATTGTGTGCTACTTATGTAAATTTCCCTTTAATTTTTTGCACTATAAATTCTCTTTCTCCCCATGCAGCTGTTGATTCATTCATTAATGGTACTTTCAATCTCTAGATTTGATGTATGGCTGTGTCGGGTCTTTCCTTCTGGCTTCGTATGTTAACATACAATGCATTCAAATATCTAAAATAGGCAACATAAAAAATTTGATTTTGCAGTTAAGATCACCTATCCTGATAATAAATAAGAGAAACTCAGTTATCTAGATAAAGAAAGCATACATAGCTCTTTCAAATAATTTTTCATCATTTTTCGAAAATGTACCGCTTAGACTGAAAGGAAAATTTTATAAGACGGTGGTGAGACTTGCAATGCTCTATGGTGCTGAATGTTGGCCTTTAAAAGAGAAACATAATAATAAGTTAAGTGTTGCCGAGATGAGAATGATTAGGTGGATGAGTGGCTTTACACTTAGAGACAAATTGCGAAATGAATATATCCGTGATAGGGTTGGTGCAGCTCCTGTGACGGACAAAATTAGAGAAAGTTGTCTTAGATGGTTTGGTCACATTAAACGTCGACCATCTGATGATCCGATTAGGAGAGTAGATGTTTTAGATTCGACTTGTGTTAAGAAAGGCAGAGGTAGACCTAGGAAGACTTGGGCTTATTGTATAAAAAATGGTCTTAAATTACTAGAACTAAATGAAAATATGACACTAAATAGGATGCAATGGAGAAGAAGGATTCATGTAGCCGACCTCACGTAGTGGGATTAAGGCTTTGTTGTTGTTGTTGTTGTTGTTTTTTCGAAAATGTCTACATTAGCAGCTTCTGCTAAAATTGAGTACCAATTTAAAACAGTAACTTTGTTGATAATTATGGATGAGAGTTCAATCAGCAATTTTGTGGAGAATGATTGGCAATCTGGAGTTTTGAAAATTTTTCAATTTTTTATCTAATCACAGTGCACCACATTGAAAATAGTCTGTATAAAATTAAAGCCTTTTTGTATTTATTTATTTTGATTTTATTGTTCATATGGTTATTTTAGCGTTTTGCAATGATTCATTTTCATTAGGTTTTATATAGGCCTTGTTTTGTATGGCTTTCTCGTGTTCAGGGCCTGCAAAAAACTTTATAAAGTTGTGCTAATGTGGGAAAACCTGCGAGTTCGTTGTACAGGTAGCAGGGCAGAACATGCCTCTGGTCCAAACAAACCCAACAGTCATAATCGCTATATTTTTTAATGGAATAAATGAGTGTTATATACGTTTAAGAGTTTAGCCTTCATTTGGAAAATACTGTAAATCCAAGGAACTTTTTTTTCTCTTGGAGGTTTTCTGAGGATCTTGTTACTGTGAGACGAATAGAGATGTCCATATTTCAATTTTTCAGAGTCAAGAAAATTTATCCTTGAGATGTCCATATTTCAATTTTTCAGAGTCAAGAAAGTTTATCCTTTTGGTGCTTTGTGTGTGTCTGTGTGTGTTGGTTTTGTGGTATTGTTTAGCTCATGTTTTATTATGTTAGGCATTTACGTATTCCAAAACACTTGAATGTTTTGCAGGTTCTGGTTCCAGGTTCTGGTTCCAGTTATCTGTAAGTTATCTGTATGGATTTTTTGATCAAGCATGGAAGGAAGGGATGACCAAAGATGAAGCTGAGGTGCGATAAACCATTTCTTTTTAGCTTAGTAAATCTTCTATCATCTTGTAAATATTACAAATAATAGCTCTGATTTAAATTTTTCCTTAATACATTTTTTTTTGGTATTTGTTCATTTATTTTTTTGTGTAATCAAACAAATTCATAAGAATGGTTAAATTAGGTATGCACAGAACTAGGGTTGTAAACGAGTCGAGCTCGAACCACCCTCAGCTTGAGCTTGATTAATTGATCAAGTTCAAGTCGGCTTGTTTTGTATGAAAGAGAAAAAATATCAATTAGTTTATGCTAGTGTTATAACGAAATGACAAATAGAATGAATATTTTTTAGATAATTAATAAGAAATTGCTTGTTATAAAATGTAAAGTACTATTTTTTAAAAATATTTTTAATAAATTAAAGAAAAATTCTTGAATTTTAATATATTTTAAGTATATTTTTTTAATTATTTTTTAATTGAGCCTGTTTACAAGCAAAGGAGCTAACGAGTTGAATCAGGGCTATCTTGAACTTGGCTTGTTACCTCATGAAGCTCAGTACACGAGCCACTCATCTCATGAGTCTACCTGACTCACTTACACTTCTACACAAAACCAGCTTTTGTATACGAATCAAAGTACCATTCGATTCTGATGAGATTTGTTGATTTGATTGATGCGCGGTTTTAATGATAGTGATCTTATGCATGGCATGAAAATGTGCAAAATCTTGAAAACTTAACACTGTGAAGGGCATTGCATATATTTACATGCTACTCTTTTAAATCATTATGATAAAGATGCATGGCACCATGGCATGAAAATGTGCAAAATCTTGAAAACTTAACACTGTGAAGGGCATTGCATATATTTACATGCTACTCTTTTAAATCATTATGATAAAATTATAAATGCAATGAAATATTGAAATGCTTTTTAATAGAATTAAGTTTTCAGCTGTCAGATGAATTCTGTATTATTGATTGTATGCTGATTATCACATCTTGCTAAGCTAATCATTTCCTCCACTGAAGTGCCATATTCTTGTTGACGTGGTATTTTAAAAACTGAGTTAATATTGAGGATGTTTTCTAACTTGTCTTTGAGACTTTGAACACAGCACCTCCAGAAAATGTTGATGCTTATACACTGATTTGCCATGTAAAAAATCTAAAATAATTTGATTTATTGCGGAATGGAGGAAGGACTTGATATTGATAAATTGAAATTACTTAATGTAACTGTTGCTTTGGCATTATCTAGTGCCCGTTGGAGAAATTTTCTTATAATTAATGTTTATTTTGATGGCAGAAATTGGTGGTGAAGGCCGTCTCTCTTGCCATTGCTCGTGATGGTGCCAGTGGAGGTGTTGTTCGTACTGTTATTGTAAGTGATTTTATAATATGTAATTAGTGGGCATATCTTGTCTGTGCACTTGTTTTTTTATAGGAAATTTTACATACATAGGACACAATTCTTATGTATTTACATATCTCACACCTATATTTACAGACTTTGGTGCTTTAAAATTATGCATGAAAAGTTGTAATAGTGTTATTTTTTATGGGATATTGAAGACTTGATTGTCATGTGTGTAAATATGAAAGTTTAGGTGAGAGCTGTAAATTCATAAGAATTGCGTGCAATGTATGTAAATGCTCTTTTTTTTATATTGCGTGTTACTGCCACATTTCTAACTAAAAATTGCAATCTTACCATACCTGAGCGGACATAAATAGCACTTTCCATTAGTAGGGCCGAGAATAATTTTCCATGATTACCATTGTAATACGCTTATCCTTTTAGTAGGGCTTAGAACCATTCGTGCGCATGTGAGTTCAGTACTATCTCCAACTTTATATTCTTCTGATTCAAAACTGAATCAGGCTCACACATTCGTAGTTTCAAGCTACTCAAGTTGTTATGGCAAAATACCAAGCTTGCTTAAATTGATTTGATTTTGGACTAGCTTTTGTTAGTTTTCAACCAATCTCAATTTCATTTCTGATCTTTGAGTTGAACTAACATTACATTCAGAATTAAGGGCCATATTAGTCATAAAAAACTAAATATTTGTGTTCCACCCCGCAAAATGTGTTGACAAGAAAGTTTATGAACACATGCAATTTATATTTCTGTCATACTTTATACTAGATAAAGAGGCTGAGAAGCATTGCAATTAAATTAAACATCAGATGATGATGATGCAGAGCGATATTGGCATAGGAGTTTTTAATATAACTCGAATGATACTATATTTGTAATTATTCAAGGGTGGCAAAGAGATCACTAATCACATACCAATAAGGTGCTATTTGGTTTGATGTGTTTAAAATGCTTGCTATTTAGAAATGCATTGTAATGCAGTGTTTTGTGAATACTATATATTTTTAGTTTGTTTTTAAGGTAAATATGGTGATTAATTTTTTTATTTGATTTGTGTAAGTTGAAAATATAGTACACCAGTTTGATGCTATGGCAGGTGTGTGTGACGAGTTGATGGAGATTGTAAATGAAGTTGAAGAAGATTGGGATAAGAAAGTAACCTATCGATGTGTGTGATCGAGAGGAGAAAAATCATCTGTGGCGATGAGCCCATGACTGATGTGGTTAGTCAACATGCAATGTAATTTTTTTTCAAAAACCAAGTGGCGATGAAAGGCCTCTAGTGAGAGTGCTAAATGATGAGAAGAAGCCCATAATAGTCCTGGGGTGTGAGCAGTTGAATATCAAGGAAGGATAGGTGTTGAATCATACCAACTTTATTTTGGCTGGGAGAGCAAATAAAGATGAGAAAATATGTTGAGCGCTAAAATTATTGCTCAGTTAAAATTTGATCAATAAAAAAAATTATTAAAGTAAGAAATTGAGGCCTCAAATCGATACAATGAGATGATTTTGCTTGGAATTAGTTAGTCACACTTTATTACACTTGAAAAAATCACACATCCAACTTAAAACACATAAGCTTGATCATGGAAGAAGATTTATTCAATCAAAGATAATAATTTATATGCCTAAGAACATCTGCATATAGACTCGTCCCTAGGTTAATTGATATGATTGATTAAAAATTGCCTATTCTAATTCTAGACAACTTTTAAGTTCTTAATTCAACCTTATTTAAAAATAATAAATTTAAAATAATTACAAATAATTTCTCCTGAAAATATTTTGAATAGGAGCACACTTGTATCCTACAAACAACCTTTATCACCCTTTGGAGCGTACTGCAATCTTGAAAATAATACCCATGGAGACAATAAGTATGGTTTCACATGAGAATGACATTGAATAGATTATTATAAAATCATTAATTTTGAATTTGTGCTTCAAAGCATTTTATGAGTGAAGCAAAGCGACCCACTAGCACTTTGCGTCACTTATATGTGAAGCCCAAGCACGCCACAAAGTGTGTGCATTACGCTACTTCGTCACATTGCGCTGTAACATTGTGCACTCGTCTCCAAATCATAAAGCTATCACAGTTCAAATTTCATGGTTCAGTTTATTATTGTTGCAATGACTAAACACAATCATTCATTTCATACTTTTCTTTAAGTCATTTAGTTGTTGCTCGTTGATTTTTTATTCTTTTTTTATAACTATTTTTTTCTTTGTAGTTCTCGTCATTTCTCTCGTCTGCTAGTTTTGTTATATGCTTTTGCTTGTTCTGTTTGCTGATACTAGCTACTTCTTCTCAAGAATGTGTCTTGATGTCGTATATTTTCTTTCTTTTGCTTCACAGTATTTACCTCTTTATCTCTAATCAACCAAGTATTTTTAATCGCTTCTTTATTTTTTTGATCTTTTTATTTTTTTGGATTTTAAATGGTTTAGATTTATTAATATTTCATACAAATTATTAATTAATGTTGTTTGAGTTTTGTTGATTTAATAGTTTATCTTATACATATTATAATTGTATATTTGATGTGGAAATCATGAATTTTATATTTCATAAGAGTGCTGCTTTGTTTTTTGCTTTGCATATTGAAGCAAAAGTAACTCCATGCGCATTACATTGTGCTCAACATTTTGAAAGTACTATAAAATTTAAAATTATGTAAAACAATAGAAGGAAAATCATTCCTACTAATTGCACTTAAAATCATAAAGTCAAATAGTTTTGCAAGTGGGAATTATGTGAGAGGACCAACCACTGTGTAATCTATAGATAATTCTATGCATTACTTCGTATAATTTTTTATAATATATCATTTAGGCCTATGTCTTGTGATTAGGACTAATGCTTGTTTATGTATATGCATCTCATTTCATAGTCAGTGTTGAATTTTAAATAATCTAAAGAAGGGGCAAGCAAACAATTTGACTTTATTATATACTTATTAGATGAAAGGAAATGTGCTAGAGCATGATACCTCAATAATGGTGGTTAGTGTTAAAAAAATTGCATCGTTATCATTCAACTATCTTATTGAATTGGACCTTTAGAATGATTTAGATGAACTTGGGATTGATTTTAAATCCCAAATTTACAATTACATAATGGGGCATTAAGGTAATCATTTATTAGGCGAGGCATAAGCCATGAGGCTTTTTGAGACACAAGTTTTAGAATCAAGAAATTGATACAAATAGAAAGTATTGTACACATGAAAGTATGAAGTAATAAGAGATTAATATCCTAACATGTAAAGATAACGATTTTAACATCCTAACATAAGCAAAACATTCATAAAACTATCACTATTAAACAATTATTTTGTAGTTATTCGTAAGCTTCACCAAAATATAGTGAGCTAAAACCTTGTGTAAATGAAGATAAAGATTTTTATTCCTAGAATATATAATATTTCATTTCAAATAACTAGTCGAGCAATTACATTAGCATAAGAGAACACTTAATCTCACTATGCTATCTAAATTTTAGTGAAATTTTTTGATCTATATCACTAATCTAATTAATTCAATAAACCCAAAAAAAAAAAAGAGGAACATAAACCCAACTTCTTTGAACCGAACATTAGGCATATGTAGTTCTTCATGTTTATTCATAACCTATCGCTAACTTGCAATTAAATCTCGGTTTGTTCATTTTAAGTTCGATCGAATCCGTTTTATAAGATATGGATTGGTTTGGTTTTTTTTTTTATTTTGAATTTCGCTTGTAATCTTTTTGACCAATTTGAAAACCGGTCATCCATCCAAACCGATCGAATGCTCACTCCTTCTTGCATTTACATACATGATACATGCAACTCAATTGCTTTTGTCTACTTTTACGTGCAGGTGAATGGTGAAGGAGTGACGAGGAACTTCTACAGTGGGGACTCGCTTCCACTATGGCACGAAGAGTTAGAACCTCATAACTCTTTGCTTGATATACTCTCATCTGCTGCCGCCGGCCCTGAGCCAATGATCATATAATAAATACTCATTGCCTTTCCGTGCCAAATTTAATTATTTTCAAACATCCGTTTTTATTGTTTTAGTCTGCTTTAATTTAAACAGCCATTTAGCAACCAATCGGTAACTATAAACAGCTTAATTGTCTCCCATGAATAGCATGAGGTTTTTAATGGTTTATTCTGTTAAATTTCTAAGAGGTATTTACATGCATGTCTCCCTCCATTCTTAAATTTTATTTCTTACATTTTTTTACGCTCAAATCTTTCACTTCACACAAAAAAATGCCACTATTTTAATTTTTAAGAAATGAAACATTTTTTTTTTCCTGCGCAAGTGATGTGGCATATTTGTAAATTTTGAAGTTTAGGTGTTAGATGTATAGATACATAAGAATTCTATGGTCGCATTTGGATTATAATTCGCATGTTAAATTAGTGAGTTGACATCAAATCTTATTCTAAACAAGTTGTATTAATTTTTTTTTTACCCCAAAAAAAAAAAGTTATCTCAAATATGATTAATAATAGAACATTAATTAGCTTGACTCAGTTAATTAAAATGCATGCCATAAACTTGAATAAAAGGAATATACCCCCATATAATGTAATATTGCGAATGATGAACTATTGATGCCATTAAATGTATCATTCATCATTATTATAAATTTAGAAAATTGATAAGCTTCCGACGTAAATACAATTTAGTCGCTAAAATATTTCAGTTAAATTAGCTGGCACAGAGCACGCATATCACCCCATTCTCATAACACCTCACTTTTGTTAATACATAGGAATTGGGAGGCTAGTCTTTAAATACCCCTCCAAAAAAAAAAATCTAAACATTGTAAAGCCAAAATTAAATTTTCAATTAAGCATAAAAAATTGATATTAAAAAAAATATCAAAATGATAAAAGGCCAAAATTAAATTTTCGATAAAACCATAAAAAATACATGCCATGCTAAATCCCTAACAATTTGTGAGCGGTTTCTGCAAAGCATTCTGCACGGCATCAAAATTTGATCCTATATATATATATATTCAAGATGGTGGCGGCTGGACCTAGCTGTGCTCTGCTAGGGTTTTGATTGTGATGTAGCTGCTTGGAGGTGTTGTGGAGTTGGGTGAAGGAACTAGATTTCTCTTCAAGGAGCCTCTGAGGGTTGTGGAGTCTGTTTAGAGTTGGCCGAATAGACTTATTTTGAACCTTCATCACCGTTCCATTGGTTTACTGAAGGAGTTTGCTAATTTTTTCTTCATTGAGTGAAGCTTGTTACTGTAACATTGATTAGGTGAATTAGCTAGTTTTTTATTGCCCCTCCAGTTTGGGGTGTCACTCTGGTCTGGAGTTGTTTGTTTCATCTGTTAGCTGAGGTTCTATGTTTCCTTCTTTTTTTGATTCCCGAGGTTTAGTTGGCTGGTTCTTTTGGAGCAAGTCACTTCCTAGAGTTTTTATTTATTTCAGTGTCTCTATTTTGCTTCTTGGGGTGCTGTCAGTGGTTAACCATGTCCACCCCTAATTATTTGGAGACAAATTTGTAATGGACTAAAGCCATTTATGCTGGGGTTGTAGGAAACCCTTCCTCCCTCTTGGTGGACCCTGATCTCCTAGTGTTACCTCAAGAATTTCACAACACTACTGCAGGGAGGGGTTCAACATCTTGCATACATCCTTTAGGAACTAAAGATAAGCAACCAACTGCTCTTTTCTCTGACCAAGATATTTTTGAACTGAACTTGGATGTTCAGTTCACACTCATTGGTAAATTTAGTCTGGGGCACCCAAAGATGGAACTTGTTGAAAATACTTATTCTTGTGGAAGTACTTTGACTCTTTTAAAATCTCTTATTGGAAGCTAGGCCTGCTGGATGGCAGGCATCTCCTTATACTGCTGACAAAGGAAGAGGACTATGCAAGGATTTTTTCCAAACAATCAATCATCATTGCTGGAACAAAAATGAAGATTTTAAAAAGATCTCGTCAATATGACCCCTCACAGGAGCCCCCGACTCTGCCTATTTGGTTTAAGCTACCAAAATTTCCATTGCATCTATTTAAACTGAATGCTTTATTTAATATTGGTTGTACCTTGGGTACACCTTTGAAGGTGGATGCTACCACTTATAATAAAGCCCGACCAGCCATTGCAAGGATTCTAGTGGACAGGGATGTCACCCTTCCTAAAGTAAAAAGGATATGGATAGGAGACCCTTTGAAAGGGTTTTGGCAGGATGTAGTCATGGAGCAAAGACCCTATTATTGCCAACATTGCAAAATGTTTGGTCACACTAAGGAGAATTGCTACAGGCTTAACCCTCCTCATAGAAGGCTATTTCATAACCCCACGCAGGAATTGGTTGATGCTAATAATAATCTCTTGAATGTTAGAAATAAAGAAGTTCAACAGAATATCTCCACTGTGGCACGGACAGAAGAGACTAACAAAGAAGTCCACCAGAAATTCTCCATTGTGGCAGGGACAGTAGAAACTATCAGTTCACTAGCTGGTCAGAACTCTGTGAAGGAACAGCCTCTGGTGACCTCTTCAGTTGAAGAGATAGTTGGTGAGGTTTTGGAACCATGTGGAAGCAGCCATCTCCCCTTCCAAGTCCCCTTGGCAGACTTTTCTCAGTTTCCTAGAAACATAGGAATCCAGTGGATGAATTAGTGGTGGTTTCCCCTACTCAAGATTTGGTAGAAGAAATGAACAAAGAACTGGAATCAGATTGGCAATTTCAGAAATCTAAAAAGAAAAGGAATTCCAAACTAGAAGAACAGAAATAGGAGAAGGGAAAGGAGTTACAAAAATTGGAAGCCTCAAGAAATCAAAGAAAAGGAATTTTTAACAAACTTAGGGGGAGGACTAGATCTAGATCCCAACCTTACTTTCCCCCCACCCTCCCCATGATTAATCTGCTGTGTTGGAATATAAGGGGGATTGCACACCCCTTATCCTTAAAAAGTCTCAAATACCTAAACAAAAACATAAACTTTGGTGTATAGCTATTTTGGAACCTATGGTTCACCTTAACACTTTGAAAATTGTCAAATCCTTCCCTGGCTTCAATTTGTTCACTAATATCAACAAAAAAATTTGGCTTTTCTGCAGGAAAGAGATGAAGTTTTCTATTTTACTGAACCACACTCAACTCTTGCATATGAACTTTAGCATTGTTGACAAGGAGGCTTTTGCTTCCTTTGTTTATGCAGGAAGCTCCAAATCTGCTAGAACTGAACTGTGGTAGACCCTGCAGTACATCCAAGGATCTATTGATAAAGCTTGGATTATGGGAGGAGATTTCACTGCTGAAAGGATGGGGGGCAGAACTCATAACCCTACAACTATATTCACATTTAATGACAATATTCAAAAAACTAGATTATTTGACTTTGCTTTTAGTGGTCCTACTTTCACTTGGAGGAGGAAGGATATGTGGGAAAGGCTAGATAGAGTATTTGCTAATTTTGCTAATGACAATCTAATGACAGCTAGATCCAAAACTTTTTGCAGACTTCTATCACACATCTTAGCCTAGCTGGTTCAGACCATAGGCCTTTGTTGATCTCTATTGGCTCTACGATTACTTGCCAGAAAAGTGCTTTTAGACACTTGAATGTTTCGTTTCAACATATGAACTTCTTGAAGATTGTTAAAGATAATTGGAAGAATGTTTCTCACCCTGACCCCTTCAGTAATTTGTGGTTAAAGCAAAAGGAGGTGGGCAAAGCTCTTAAATAGTGGAGTTGGAATAGCTTTGGGGATCTTCTGAAGATTGTGGGAAAGGCAGAAAAGGAGGTACTTGATCTGGAGAAGCATAGGAAAGGGAAGACTAATGAAGCTACTCTTTTAGAGGCAAATGAGAAACTTTTAAATGTTGTAAATTGGCAAGAACAATTCTTCATACAAAAGGCTGCTAAAACAAAATTCACTGAAGGGGATAGAAGCACTAAATTATATCATGCAATGCATTAAATACCAGAGAAAGTGAAACACTATTCATTCCATCAAGGAACAAAATGGAACTTGGCTCAGCAAGAGGAGGAGATTGCTGAAAGTGTTGTGCAGTACTTCCATAACCTAATGAATGGAAACAACATTTGATAGAGAGCACATTGACGACACTTTGTTTGCTGACAGCAAGCAGTACACTGCTAGAATGAGCTTGACTTCAATACCAAACTTTACCAGAGGAGGATGAGATTCAAAGAGCTTTAAATTCCATTGATAGTTCCAAATCTGCAAGTCATGATGGGTTTACAACAGATTTCTATAAAAAAGCCTGGGGTGTCATCAAGGTGGAGGTTATTCAAGCTATCAAACACTTCTTCAAAGGTCACTCTCTACCAAATTATTTCACTACCTCTTCTATTGTTTTCATCCCAAAGACTTCTATCAAGGATATCTAGAGCCAATATAGAACTCTGAGCCTTACCAAAGTCATAAGCAAAATACTAGTGAACAGACTCTAGCCAGCACTACCTCAGTTAATCAGCACTAACCAAGCAGCTTTTGTGAAAGGCAAAAACATAAGGGACAACATACTCCTGACACAGGAACTTTTACAGGATTTGTATAAACCTTGTAGAGGGGGAAATGCAATTTACAATCTTGACTTGAAGAAGGCTTATGATATGGTGAACTGGGACTACATTATAGAATGCTTGGAGGCTAGGGGTTTTTCCAGGGAGTTCTATCTAATCGTCAAAAGATGGCTGGAGGCCAATGCTAATTTTATTTTCATACATGGAAAAGCACACGGACTCTTTAAAGCTACTAGAGGGCTCAAACAAGGGGACCCTCTATCCCCCACCATTTTAATTCTGGTATTGGATTACTTATTTAGACTTATTGATTGCTAGGAAAAATGAAAAAGCTTCAATGCTTATCACAATAGCGCTAAGATGGATATTAGCTATTTTATCTATGTTGATGATATTTTTATGTTTACTAGGGACACTAAGTCAGCTACCAAGTACATCATGGAGTGCTTGCAAAAATTCCAACAGTTTTCTGGGCTGAAAGTCAATAAAGAAAAATGTCAGATCTTGCTCAGCAAGAGAGTCTCATTACCACTTAAAACAGTGGATGCTAGATTATATTGGGTTCTCAAGCCTCAACATTCCCTTAAAATATCTGGGTATTCCGCTGGTCAAAGGAAGAACCAAACTGACTCAATTTGATGAGGTA